CCCCGCCGCCCGGCCACGCCCCAGACCCGCCCCCGCCGCCACGCCCTCAGGCCACGCCCGCCTGCCCGAGCTCCTCGCAGGTGCGGGCCGCCCAGCCCGTCCTGCCGCCAGGGCTCCTGGGCGACACGTAGCTCTGACCAAATGTTATCTCGGTTCTTCTTATCCTCACCACCACTCCCCTCCCGGCTGTTTTCATCATAACAATGACTGGTGACTTTTTTTTTTTTTTTTTTTTTGGTTTAAAATTAACGGTCATTGCTGACACTGAGTCACATTGTGAAACTGTCTCTTCGTTTGCGTTGCTTCCAGGTCAGTCCCACCTGGGCCACAGTGGGGGCCAGGTCATCTCTGGATCTGCACCTGATTTGAAAATTACTAACAAACTAGTTCCTGAAGGATGTGATACTGATCAGAGATATTGATCTTCCTTGGTAACTCTAAGTGGATGGGAACGGTTTGGGATGTGTATGTGTGTAGGGAGGTTAGTTCAAAACCAAAAATCCCTAATACTCTTTCTAGTAGACTTCGAGATCTAATACAAGAGAACATTCATTGCAAAAAAATTCATTCAAAAGTGTGCATTAAAGGACCCCTCAAAGTCATTAAATTCTATTCTACATTCCACAAACTCTATGACCACAGTTTGCTAAAGATAATTAGACCTGGTCTTTTGCTTCCTAGAAAATTGCAATCCAGTAAGCTTAGGATCAGTGAGCCTTCACTGGTGAAACAAAGTTAAATAACTCAAAGGGAACCAGCAAGCTGCAACTTTAAACCTTACCCATCAGATCAGGGAAAAGGAAATTGCAATGATATCTTCACTTTTGTAGAAGAGCAGTGATGACTAAAAATTGACAGAAATGGGGAGGTGAAGCTGCCTTAACACCAACTGACAGCAACCACCTTCTTACTAGAGCGATCCATCGTGGAAGTGACTCTCGTGGCAAACCAACAAACCCAAAGACCCCTGGTCTGGCAGTTGCAGAGGTGTTTAGAGATCATTTTAAATTTAAAATGCACCAAGGTAGACCAAGGCCGTTTTAAAAATAATTAAAATAATTAAAATTATGTAGATGTAAGTTTTTTAAAAAATGGCCATTTTTAATTATATCAATAGCAGGAACAATACATTTTTCTGAAAGTTTTAAATAAATCAATAGCATGAACAATACATTTTTCTGAAAGTTTTAAATAACCACATTTTTTGGGGGGTGGAGGTTTTTGCTATAGGGCATGTGTGTTCGCCAGACAGACAGAGACAGAGAGACAGAAAGTGAGAAATCACCCCCCAGGGTGGATGGCCACGCCGCAATCCCTTCTTCTCCACTCTCCTCTTGGGATCTTGGGCATGCACACCACACGCGCCCAGCATGTGTTTAAGCCACCGGGTCTGGGATTTGAACCACAGTTTACTACATGGGAATCCAGTGACATAGCCATTATACCAACTGCTGGTCCTAAATAACCACATTTTAGTAGTCCTTTTAATAACTCTCTTGCAAAACTACATATACCAATTTCCACGTTGGGGTCAACTTCATTAAGTGACAGCAGTCACAAAGAGCACAGACACAAGTCAGGCCAAATGACGGCACAGCAGAGGATTCTGCTTCCCATCCTTTATCTTAAAGGCTAACAGATCAACATGTGAGGTTGGCCTGTTTCTGCTGTATTTAAAGTATGCAATGGAAGGTATTAGTATATACACTATAATGTATACAAAATGAGTTGGCATTTTCTTATTTCCGAACTCACAGTTCTTGAAGAGTAACATTTAATGAAGCCCAAGAGTTGAGACTAGGGAGCGATAAGTGTGTGTAAATAGCATTTCCTGAGCAAAAGCTTGAGGATGGCTATTGGGAGAACACATGTTAGCACTGGAGGGAGGTCCCCAACTGCAGAGCAGTGCCTGATGGTAGATGTGGAGGGGGCTGCCAAAATGGACTTGGGGTGGGGGCTTGCAACCTTTGAAAAGTGATCTCTGTTCTGTGTTCCTGGAAGTAGCATGGTTTGTAATGAAATGTTCTGTGGTTTCTCTTCTGCCCTCTTCAACCACCATCCCCCTCTCCCAGCTGAGGGAAAAAAAATGCACATGCAGGAGAAAAACTAATGAAATAAGCTACAAAATTTGTCTGATAAAAAAAAAAATATGTCATGGCAAGAGAGAACACTACCAAAGGGCCACTTTCCTGAGTGATGTGTGTATTAAGATTCCAAGTATTTCAGGACCAGCAGTTAGCGTAATGGCTATGTCACTGGACTCCCATGTAGTGGACCGTGGTTCGCATCCCGGACCTGGTGGCTTAAAACTCACGCCAGGTGCGTGTGCGTGCGTGCCCAAGATCCCGAGAGGAGAATGGAGGAGAAGGGATTGTGGCGTGGCCATCCCCCCTGGGGGGTGATTGCTGGCTTTCTATTTCTCTGTCTCTCTCGGTCTGTCTGGCGAGGGCACATGCTCTATGGCAAAAACCTCTCCACAAAAAAAAAAAAAAGAAAAAGAAAAAAAAGATTCCAAATATTTCAACGTGGGACTTTCAGCTGCTGGTTGTCTCTCCTCTCCTGGGGCTACTTTCCAGGTATGACCCTTTAGTCCCTTCCTTCTGCTACTGGGGGCAGGGGACAAACCACACAGGCCTCAATATATGAGGATGGCCATGACAAGGAATCCCAGTACCAGTGGGACCCTTAAGTAAACCAAAGCCTGAACTGGATATACAGGACCAGGGAAAAGAAAAGGCAGGGTAAAAGAATCATAGCTTGGTGTCCCCTTATCAATAATCTACTTCTTCTCACTTTACAGAGGTGGAAACCGAGATTCCGAGGAGTGGCATGCTCATAATCACACAGGGGACTTTGATAGAACTAAGACCAAAGCAAAGTTGCCGGTTCAGCGGTACTGACGGCCTCCGCAGAGCACTTCTCCAGGCCATGAACTTAAGGGAGGTCTGGTAAGAAACAGAATTACAATGAAATAAAATTAGAGTGAGGGAAGAATAGATGAAAAGGCAGGAAAGAGGCGAGGTAACTGCCTCGAAAGCACTTAAGAGCAAACTGGCCCTTGGTAACTCCTAGGGAAGAAGCACAAACCCAAACCGGTAACTTCCTTCATTCGGTTATCCGCCTGGACTCTTCCAGGAAATCACAAATGGTCCTCGATAAGCTTTGGAAGTACTTGCAGCTATCTATATATCTAACAAATGTTTTCATTACTATTTTTATGTCTAGATTTTTATTGCAGCGAAGGCCGGACAATGGATGGGTAATAATTCTTTCTTTCTTTTTTTTTTTTTTAAGATCCGGAGAAAGAGAGAGGTAAGATAGAGAGAGATAGAGAGAGACAGGCGCCCTTAACATGGTCTTCATGTCACAATCCACCTCCAGATTTAGCCAGCCCTGTATCTTGCACATGTGGACCTGGCATGTTCGTGGACGTGATCCTGGAACCTTTCCATGTGGGCCAGCCTCACAGGGTTGTGTGACCACTGTGCCACTGCATGGCGCCCTGGAGAGGTAACTCCATGCTAAAAAGTTCATGTTCCTGGGCTAGCAGTTGGCATGGTGGTTGGGGGTCTGGATCCCACATGGACAACTGTGTGCTTTGAGTTCTGGGCCCTGCAAAGCGTAAATGTGCCTGTGTGTTCAAAATGTGAAGAGAATGGAGAAGAGATTGCAGTGTGGCCATTCCCCAAGGAAGGTGCTGTCTCATTTTCTCTCTGTCTCTGCTGAGCACACATACCCACCAGCAAATTACAAAAGAACAAAAACAAAAAAGTTTACCTTCCTTTCTGGCCTGATAAATACATCATCAATGAACTGATTTTTAATGGCGTAATTCATTTTTAAAACAGGGTTATGTATTTATGTTTCTCTGAAATATTAAATGACCCTTTCCATTACTATACATTTATGTGCCCATAAAATAATTTATACTACAGAAGATCCTTTAACACAGAATATCTTTAACATCGAAACTATTCTCTGTAATCTAAAAGCCTTCCTAGAGAGATGACAGAATATATGAAAATCTAACATGAGTGTCCTACCACACCCGAATGTACTTATTTTATGACCATGAATATTATACCTTAAAATCTGATGGTTCACCATCAGTGGTGGGGGACTGGGAGGGGAACAGAGAACTAAAGGACTCCAATCGTCTTGAGTCTTGCCTCTTTCTGCTTTTACTGCACCCTCCCCCACAATCCAATATCCTCAAGGACTCTCTCTGCTAAATGTCTCTTGAAACCCTCCACTTAACCTACCCTGTTCAGTTCACTATCATCACTATCCATTACTCAAAAAACTCTTCAGAAGCTTCCCCATGGCTTTTCGCAGCCAACGCATCCTCCATAGCACAGGCAGATGGTTCTTTCTAAGTACCAGTGTGATCCTGCTGCTCCCTAAAATAAAAATCCATGTTCCCGGATAAAGCCCAAGCCATAAAGCCATGCAGATCCTGTCACGTCTGTGCTTGAACTACGTGCTCCAGTCATAATGGAGCTCTTCACTCTCGAGCCACTGATGGATACAGGGGTCTTTCTCCAAATGGAGACCCTGTCCGAATCCCCTCACCTTCCCAACTCCCGCAAAATCTGACCAACTCTGATTTATCTTTTAATTTTTTTATACATTTGATCGCTATACATCATTTGTCTTGTAAAGACAATTTACCCAACATGAAATATACCTCAGACCAGTCCAGTTGAAAACACTATACACCTCTTCATCAACAGGTAATAAGCCACGTGTGTCCCACGAATGTCTCGCCTCTCTATTTTTTCTCCCTAATTTCCTTCCCTGTACTCTTCCCCTCTATGTATCCTTTAATTATCAGCTGACGTCAAAGGCTACCTTCCTGGATACCATCAAATTGCTAAGGAGTCTATTCTACACACACAGACCACATACACACATAACAACGCCTGCTAGTTCTCAAATCACAGACTGCACGGTCCTGGAAGATCTGCTTTCCTGGTCTACACCTCCTGCTACAGTGTAAAGTCAGTGGGTCTGCCATTTGTGCATTCCTTGCAGGATATAAAGCACACATTAAGCATTCAAATAATTACTTATTGAAACACTCTGAATAATTGCACACATTCTAAGACAGACTTCATGTACTCTGTTTTTGAAGTGTGTGTGTGTGTGTTTGGAGGGATCTTTACAAAGAAGGTGTTAAGACATACTATTTGCCCCCCAGGACTATTAATTAAAATCACACCACGGAGTAGAGAGTTATTCACAAGAAACAGTTTCTAATTAATAATGTGTTAAATGGTGAAATGACATTTGAAGCAGCGCTATGGTGGGTAAGAAAGTACTTCCACCTGGGCCAGCAGGTGGCATTGAAGTTAAGGTGCTGGACCCCTCAGAGCGCACTGGGAGGTTTGTGTTCCGGACCCAGCAGCTTGAAAATCATGCAGGGTGTGTGTACGAGCGTGCCCCAAATACTGAGAGGAGACAGGATTGTGTAGGGCTATCTCCTCTGGGAAGAAGGGAGGCAGTTTCTCTCTCTCTCTCTCTCTCTCTCTTTCTCTTTCCCCCTTTCCCTCTCTTTCTCTGTCTTTTTCTGGTGAGTGCATGCACCCTATAGCAAAAGTAAAAAGCAAACAAAAATAAAAACACTCCTACTTACCTACTCTGTCACTTACAAAGACAATAAGGCACAATTCCAAAAGCTATGGATATGAATGATCAATGGAGAAGCTGGAAAAAAGAGAAATTCAGTCAATATACTAAAAATGAATACAGAAAAATGTCCTGAGGTATAGGGACAAAATTAGTCTGAAAAAGACTATGAAACTAGATAGATATTTTAAGGTGATTTAAATGCATTATACTAAAGAAAGGGACTAACAATTGTTTTCCTCCTTTGGGAGGCTGAAGAAACTATAAGAGGTGTTTTAATTTATTGTGGTATCAATAGCTGGCTGGCAGCAGATACAGAGAATAAAACTAAAATCAGTACAAACTACAAGGGGAAACTGAATCAATACCAATGATCGGGGCCATGATATCTATTTTTAAAATTTTTATTTATTATGTTTTTAATTGACCAGAGTTAGAGAGAGAGAGAGAGAGAGAGAGAGAGAGAGAGAGAGAGAAAGGGAGAAAGCAAGCCACCAGGTCTAGGACTTGAATTGCCGTTGGCCATGTGAGAGTCCAGTGCCTTAACCACCATGCCACCCGCCAGTCCCTGGGCCATGAGATCTTAAAACATCTTTACAGAACTACAACTGTTATTCTGGGAGGCCAGACTAAGTTCCTGTGCTCATACATGGCCAAGTAACTTAAATGCAGAACCTAAAATCAAATATGAATGTGGCTCGTTCTACACTGGAGAATGCAGTGCAACTTTCGTGATACAAACAATCAAATACTAGAGGAAATGGGACAAGTGAGTTGGAGGAAAAGTCCTGCTTTTGCAGAGAGCTGTGGTTTAGAACCAAGGACACCCAGGATCAAGAGAACTTGGCTTTTGCTGAGGGCAAGTCGTCATACTTCTCTCTGCTTCATGTTCTTCCTAGGAAACTTGAGAATATTATCATCTTAATCACTGGGCTACAGGGAAGATTTTCCTCATGTATTTGTGTGTTCTTATAATGAACATGTAGAAGATGATGATGATAGGTGATCAACTATAAAATGATCAACTATAAAACAGTGTAAAAAAAAAAAAAGTAAGGTATCAACAGTCATTTTGTGTTCAGCAGCAGTTGAACAGTGACTGGCAAAGCTCCACCACCAGCAAATGTCCTGCTTACTAAAATATAGTCAAAGAATGTTTGTAGAGTGAATGAGACACTCCAGGCAGGGCCTGGAACAATATGCGTGAAGTAAGACTACAAAGATCAGAAAGTACTCCTCCTCTGAACTCAGTATTTATCACACTCGATTTTAAGGACAAGATGGGAAAACCTAAATATTTCATGGAATAATTCAAAATTGTACCAAGACATCAGTTCTTGTAAAATTTTTAATAATTGGGTTAGTTCGACATGGCAGAAATGACATGTTAGGGCTTTATTTAGTTTTCTCAAATGAGGGGAAAGCAGAAATGTTTTCTATTAAAATGCAAACTCTCCAGGCAGGGTCATAATTAAGCCCTTATGAGCCATCCCTTGAGCGATCTTTCCCAGCTGGGCCAGGATTGGCAGAGCGCTCAGTCCAAAGGAAGAAAGATGGGCCAAAGAAAGACACGAGGCTTTAGTTATGAGTTAACACTTCAGCAATGTGTAGTAACGGGACCGTCGCTGGCCAGGATGCTGAGAGCTAGCAGGAAGGAGGAAAATGCGGCTGAAAGAGAAGATGGACGACTTCTCTCTCCTACTTCATAAACCTATCTTGCACCAAAACAAAACAACAGCAACAAAAAATAAGAATGAAAACCCTCTTGAAAATAAAAGGTAGAATAGTGTATTCATCCTGCTTCCAACTATCCAAACCATGACTAGGATACGGATTCATTTTTGCCTAGGTTTGCATAAAACCTAAGAGAACATTTGCCTAAATTAAAGCAGAGACGCATTAACTATATCTTAAAAAATCTTAATCCTTTACCTTCAGCATGATCAACTGTAACAATAGTCTCAGAAGCTGTGATAATGTGTCCTTGATAGAAACTGCAGCTGTCTTAAATGTTCTCATTTGTTTTTAGCCAACTAGAAAATGTCCTTCCGGTTATCAAACTTTTGATAGCTTTTTGATAAGAAGTTGGAAAGAAGCACAAACATCAAAGCATCTTAAATGGCATATAAGAATAAGAAGGCTCTACAGAAAAGTGGTTACTAGCACGTAAGCCCTATAGAGACAAGGCTTTTGTCATCTGTGATGTGTCCCTGAGGATCATAAATGGACAAGAAACTTGAAGACAGAAATAAAATAATAATCAAATGCAAATGTACATCATTCTAGATTAGGGGTTACTGCAAACCTTTTTGAAATCGTCTTGTGTGTGTGTGTATTTTGCTATAGGGCACATGTGCTCACTACAGAGACACAGAAAGAGAGAGAGAGAAGGACAGTGATAAACCACTCCCCAGAGGGGGATATCCATGCCACCATCCCTTCTTTCAGTTTCCTCGTGATTTGGGGCACACACACACATGCCCGGCATAAATTTCATGCCGCTGTGCGTAGGACTCAACTGTGCAGCCAGCCAGTGTGGGATCTAGCATCTTAACCTCCATGCCACCTGCTGGCCTCAGTGATCTTCCTCAAAAAAAATAAAAGGCAAAGAGAATCACCAGTCAACAGTAAAACTCTGAGTCTAAAACTTAATAGGTTCTCATTAAGTATTTGTTGAACGAATAAATGAACTAATGAACTAGCCAATAAATATAGTCAGACTTTCAAGTTATTCTGCCCATGTTCAAATTCTGGCACAATCTCTACTGGCTTTACGTCCTAGGGCAAACATTCTATGACTTGGTTTTCTGGGCGCTTAAATGGCCACAATAAAAGTACATGCCACAAAGGAGTTTTTCCAAGAATTACATGAGATAATACAAGTATCACATTTAGTACATGGTGAGCATATGAAGGTTTGAATTAATTATAAGAATCTCATATCAATACTGTTTCCTGCTACTTGGACAAAAGCAACATCAAAACAATAGGGCAGGGCTAGCAGGTGTGATCGTGGTTGAGGCACTGTACTGCCATATGGCCCAGTCTCAGACCCAGTGGCTTGAAAATCATGCTGGGTGCATGTGTGTGCATGCCCCAAATCCCAGGAGGAGAATGGAGGAGAAGAGACTGTGGCCTGGCCATCCCCTCTAGGGGGATGATTTCTCAATTCCCTCTCAGTCTCTCTCTGGTGAGCACATGTGCCCTATAGCTAAAACCATAAAATGAACAAACAATAGGGCCTAATTTAAGGCTTGATGACAAATAAATTCTTACAATATTTAGGTATTTGTTTGCTTCTAGGTCACCAACAGAGGAGAATGTTAGTCACTCACTTCCCTTTATAAAAATGTGAAGATAAGATTATCTCTAGGAGATAAGTGAATAAAATATGGAAATCATGGCTTAAATCTGTCATCACGAGATAAAATCAAGACTAGGATGTACACAGTCATCTAAAGAGTTTGGTGAACATTCAAAATTCCCATCGAGTAACCAAGATCTAGACAGGGAGGCAGGACTGAAGTTCGATGCATTCTGAAAACGACAGTACTTGATTATATTCTACCCTGTCTAGAAAACATTTATGTAAATAGAAAATGAATGATCAGCAAGGAGCATGAAAAAGGGAAGTTCAAAGGGCAAGATCTTGGCAATGTGTCGCAATACTGTTTAGGACAGAAAGATAACTGAGTTTGGCAAATGCTGGGCTAGTCACCAGAGAAATGGGCCCTGACATTACCCAGGTGCAGGTTATTAGAACAAAATGACCCTCCTGCAGCTCTGATTACAATGCCCATTATTTTCTAAGGATTAATTTGCCTTTCCTTGTGTCTAAATATCGGAAGCAAATGCCCTGAACTGAAAAACTAATATTCTGGGAACCAGCAGTTAGCATAATGACTATGTCGCTGGACTCCCACGTAGTCGACCGTGGTTCGCGTCCTGGACCTGGTGGCTTAAAACTCACGCCGGGCGCGTGTGCGTGTGTGCCCAAGATCCTGAGAGGAGAATGGGAGAGAAGGGATTGCGGCGTGACCATCCCCCCTGGGGGGTGATTTCTCGCTTTCTGTCTCTATGTCTCTCTCTGTCTGTCTGGCGAGCGCACGTGCCCTATAGCAAAAATCTCTCCAAAAAACAAAACAAAACAAAAACATCAACAACAACAAAACAAAAAGTCCCCTAATATTCTGTGACTCTATTCCACCGTGGGAAAAATAAATCTTTAAAGAAGTAAAATAAGGTGGCATGATGGTTAAGGGCGCTGGACTCCCACATGGCCGACCATGGTTCAAGTCCTGGACCTGGCAGCTTGCTTTCTCACTTTCCCCCCCCCACACTCTGTCCTTCTCTGATCAAATTAAAATAAGTAAGTAAATAAATAAAGGTTAAAATAATAAAAATAATTTAAAGAAAAATCACCAGTCAGTAGTAAGGCTCTTGGCAAGTCACTTCATGAGCCCTGACAGCTTCATCTATAAAACTGTTTTAGCCTCAGGAGACATCATTTTTAAGGATTCTTTTTTAAAAGTAATTTTTTCCCCCTGCGTCACACATGTACTCACCAGACAGGACAGAAAGAGAGAAAATGAGAAATCACTCCCCAAGGAGGGGGCCATGCTGTAGTCCCTTCTCCTCCAATGTCCGTCACACATATACTCACCAGACAGGACAGAAAGAGAGAAAATGAGAAATCACTCCCCAAGGAGGTGGCCATGCTGTAGTCCCTTCTCCTCCAATGTCTTGGGATTTGGGGAATGCATGTGCATGTGTCTGGTGTGATTTTCAAGCCATTGAGTCCGTGACTCAAACTGTGGTAGAACATGTGGGAGTCCAGCACCTTAACTACCACACCACCTGCTGGTCCCAAGGATCCTTCTTGATCTTCCAATCACATGGCTGTGCAACTTAGAAGCATTACCTAGAGCAGGGGACTGTAAGCTTTATCTTTAAAGGGTCGGACTGTAAATAAAACATTTTAGGCTTTGAAAGCCATGCGGTTTCTGTTGCGGTTACTCAGCTCTGCTCAAGTAGGGCGAAAGCTGCCAAAAACAGTATATAAAAATGGATGTAGCTGTGTTCCAATAAAACTTTATGTAAAAGACTGGCAGCAAGCTAGATATGACTCTTCAGCTATAGGTTACTAATTCCCAATCTATAATAGAAAGACATAATATGTCTTCTATGAACATATATGGAGGTAATAACCAAAAGTTTCCAGAATTCTAGTGTTGGTAACTTATAAATTCCAATCTCTTGGTGACAACTTCAAATCAGAACTTTATTGCAATATTTTAATTTTACAATTTCTAATTTCTAGGCAATGTGTAGAATACAGTAGGTTAACTACCAAATGGTAGCCTCCTTCTCATCAAACAGCTCAGAAAAATAGAAACTGTCTGTGATTCTGGTTTTTGAAGATTTGTCATAATGTCTTCTGTCTCCTATCACCATGAAGAAAGTCTATCGGCGAAGAGAAAAGGAATGTTAAACATTCTTTCCCATTTCCTAAAGAGTACGCTCTCTCCCTCTTTCTGCGTCTCTGTAGTGAGCACATGTGCCCTATAGCAAAACACACACACACAAAAGATGATTTCAGAAAGGTTTGCAGTAACCCCTAATCAGAATGATGTACATTTGCATTTGATTATTATTTTATTTCTGTCTTCAAGTTTCTTGTCTTCAAGATGAGTCTTCAAGATGCCAAATAATCCTAGTGATACTCAAAGAGAAAGTATTTTCCCATCCTCCTTAGACTTTAGGGGAGTGGTTTATCACTGTCCTTCTCTCTCCCTCTTTCTGTGTCTCTGTAGTGAGCACATGTGCCCTATAGCAAAACACACACACACAAAAGATGATTTCAGAAAGGTTTGCAGTAACCCCTAATCAGAATGATGTACATTTGCATTTGATTATTATTTTATTTGTCTTCAAGTTTCTTGTCTTCAAGATGAATCTTCAAGATGCCAAATAATCCTAGTGATACTCAAAGAGAAAGTATTTTCCCATCCTCCTTAGACTTTAGGATGCTCCCCTAAGAGAAAACAGCTTGGAGAGGAACGCTCTTTACTTACTTACTACAGGGTGCTGAGAGCTAGCCTGGCCTCAGGAAGTCACGCTAGAAAGAGCCATGTCAACTCCACCTTCCCATAACCCGCTTCTATAGCCTGGGTCTGGGTTTAAGAAGAGGCCCTGCAGGACAGGACAGTGAGAAGTCACCACCCCACCTCCTTTGAAAGACAGCAGCTACTAAGAGAGAGCGAGCACATTTGCAAATGAAGGGTCTGCAGCTGTGGAAACTAGACCTGGCCTGAGAGCATAGGGAGAAGAGGCAGGATGTATTTCTATGATGCTAAACAAGGGAATCTAAGTTGCTGATGATATTCTCACTTTCTAGACTTTTGGGATGACGATTACAACACAAATCAAGAAGAATATGTGAATCGGGGAGAAAGGAGTTTCACACAGTACTATTTTTTAAAATAATATTATTTTGAGGCTAGCAGGTGGCATGCTGGTAAAAGTGCTGGACTCCCACATGGCTGAATACGATTCAAGTCCTGGACCTGGTGGCTTGCCTTCTCACTTTCCTTTCCCTCTGTCTCTCTCTGATCAAACTGGAAAATAATAATAATAAATGAAGTTAAATAAAACAATAATTTTTTAAAAAGAAAAAAAATATTTATTTTATTTTATTTATTGTTACTGTTAAGTTGACCAGAGAGGGGGAGAGAGAGAGAAAAAAAGAGAAAGTGAGAAGGCAAGCCACCAAGAGGTCTAGGACTTGAACTACAGTCGGCCATATGGGAGTCCAGCATCTCAAACACCATGCCACTTACTGGCCCCTTCACACGAATACTTTTTACACAAGATACCAAGACTGAGGTTCATTCACTACCTGTATTGTTGAATTATAAAAGAGGCAGCTGCAATATCAAATCATCTGAATATTGCATTTCGATTTACTAAATTTTTAAAAAATACAGAAAAATCCAAGGAAGAGAAGAAGTTGCATGGATTCACTTACGCTTTTCAAAGCAAGTTTCGTCAAGAACTGTCCTGATTTGAACAACTTGGAATGACACTTCACTTCCTAAAAATGGTAGAAGGATGATGCTTATCGCAAGTACTGATGAGGAGGTTAATTGGAACTTGATGACTATAAATTACGACACCATCATTGCCTTTACGCCAGCTCCTCGGCTATTTATTCTTGACTCCATTTTACCAACAAAGTCTGGGGTTTTAAGTGGCATACTCATTTCTACTAGGAAAAGAAGGACTTCCTATAATTAGAATCCGAACTTCTAAGCATAGGCAAGAATACGTGTATAAAATCTTTATGTCAAATAAGTTAGTTCACTTCAGAAGAATCCAACAATAAACTAGATATTTACAAAATGGAATAGATGGAATTTAGCTTTTAAAAGTTGACACTTACACTATCCACACTTGACAACAATATAAATTTCTCCTATTTCTGTACTTTGTACATTAACTTTATTATTTTAATCTGCCACATTATATGTTCAATATTACCTGTTAACTACTACACAGTATTTTTTCTAAATCCCTTTTGAATTGTGTTCCCCAAAAAGAAACATTCAAGTCCTAACCTCTGGGTAAGGTCACCTCCATAGGTGACCTTACTTGGAAATAGGGTCTTTAAGGGCAGCCAAGATGTGGTCATATCGGAGTAGCTGGGCTCTTAATTCAAAAGACTCAAGTCCTTATAAGAAGTGGTGAGAGACAAGCACGACAGACACAGAAGTGGGTCAGGTGACAACGGGCAGAGATGGGAACAGCAGCACCTCAAGTGCACATGGTAGGTAGGGGAGGGGAAATTCCTCAGGGATTTCTTTCCACCCTAAGGGATTATATTCAAGTGCTTCTGGGTTAGAGAATCTGAGGACACTGATCAAATTTTCATGGCTATGGCAAATGGGAAATGATATGTCTGGGCACAGACAGGAGGATTAAAACAAAACAAAACAAAACAAAACGAAGCACAGCCCTGAGAACCCCAGGTGAACTTGATAGTTTTTCAGTAGGACTAATTCACAGACAACCGCACGGCAGAGGGGCAGAGCACATGAATGGACTGGCGAAAGTCTTTCAGACTGCAGAGACAGTGGAGCAGAACAGGAGAAGTTAAGGAGAGAGACAAGGAAGGGATGGATCCAGAGAGGAGTGGCTTGAACAAAGCAGAAAGAAAGAAGTAGTAAATGCCTATTTATACTAATATAACTCTCAAGTGTGTAAGCCAGCATAGTTATTTTAAAATCAGAGGCGGGGAGGGAGGGAGGGAGAGAGAAAGAGAGAGAGAGAAAGAGAGAGAGAGAGAGAGAGAGAGAGAGAAAGAGAGAGAGAAAATGGGAAAGCAAGCTCTAGGCCTGGGACTTGAACCACAGTCAGCCTTGAACATGTGGGAGTCCAGTGCCCTTAACCACCATGCCATCTGCCAGCCCCACATGGTATATTTTAAAGACTGCACAGACTAAGACATAGGGAAATGTCTTTCTTTCTTTTTTTTAGAGAGAGAGATTTTTGTTATAGGGCATGTGTGCATGCCAGAAAAACAGAGACAGAGAAACAAAGTGAAAAATTACCCTCTTGGGGGATGGCCATGCCACAATCCCTTTTCCTCTATTCTCTTCATGGGATCCTGGACACACACACACACACACACACACACACACACACACACACACCTGGGGTGAGCTTTAAGCCACTGGGTCCAACACTCAAACCATAGTCAAATACACGCGAGTCCAGCTGTGTTAATTATTTCACCATCTGCTAGTCCGGGGAAGTGCATTTCTTTAAACATTACAGTCACACCTTTAACTGATTCATCTCTTTCACACGTTATAAGACATGATCATCAAGACTAGTTAGCAACTGTAGTTGGCAGTGAATGAATGGCATTACACCTAGACTATACCAGACACTACAAGTGTTTACAAGGCTTGACCCTTGAAAACATGTAAATTGCACACAAGAAGACTCTGTACCTGATCTAGAAGCATCTACATAATATTCAAAATCAAAATATGGATAGGTAACACTTGAGAAGTAAAACTTACTATGATAACCACAAATGTGAGAGCTTTGTAATGCCCTCCTCTGCAGACACTGCTTCTTCATGTAGTGTGATGCACATGCTGAAAACCATGAAAATGGAACTGAAGTGCAACTTACTCTGTATTGTTACAAAGACAAAAGGTAGTGCATCTGGTAAAAATCCAAATTTCCTCTTGGTTGAATTACACTTACTTTCGACAACAACAAAATCTATGGTTAAAGAAATAAAAGTTTCAAGGAAGAGTATTAAAACAGAATTTCTGGGTTTTTTTTAGAGAGCTGTCTTCCATTTTTCTTATCTACCCTAAGCGGAAATACAACCAACAGGAGTCTCATGCATGAGGTATCAAAGTTAGGCACTATTATTCTTATAGAACATTCACAGTTATTTTCATTTAGCTTTTACAGATTCAATTCTTTATCTCACCTCTGTCAGCACAGAAGCCTCTGGGTACACAATCTAAAATATTAACCAGGAAAAAAATAAAGGAAGTAAACTTTCAATTACTTCTGGCCAAATAATTCACTTCCTGCAATTGACCAGCATAGTGTTTTTTGTTGCTACAAAGGACCACTCCTAATTACACTGACCAAATCATTTTTGAATGGCCTTCATGAACAGCCATTCTTCAAATTTATGAATGAAAACAGAATGGCCTCCCCATAACCTTCCTGTTCCTTCTAGAGCACAGAGTCTGAAAATAATGGAGACACCTCTAATATCCGATCTTTAACTCCATGCAGGCTCCTCAAGCTTCAATCAACCTATCCAGAATATCTAAGTCAGCTTTCTGAAGCAGCACAGCTTCCACTGTTGAGCAAGTACTCCGCCCTGTGCTAAAGCATTGTATAGATCACTTCTTTTATTTACGACAACCCTGTGAGGTAAATAAAAATCACTGTCACAATTTGTAAATGAGGAGACCATGACACAGAGGGTCTGTGTGACAACTGGTATCCCACCGTTCATGACAGATGAAGGCCCATCCAGAACCAGCCTGGTGCTGCTCCATCATTGTCCAGAACACTCTGCTCTGCAGCAGGGGCCCCTCTGGGCCTGGCACTAGACAAACCTCACAATTTTATTTTCACTCTTTCTATCACAAAACTTCTACTGCCCCAACTAAAGAAGGCTTCTCACTGTCCCTTAAACACAATGTCAACATCAACTTCCAGCCTTTGCTTATACCACACCCCACTAATGGAATGCTCTCTCTCCTGTACCCTCTTCACCACCTGCTACAGCCAGTAGCAAGCCTCCATCTTCCCAAACTGTTCCTTCTTCCAGCTTTTCCACCTCAGGGGCTCTCTTTCCTGAGAACTACAGGAAGCCCAGACACTTGACATTTAAACTAGTTTTGTACCAGTATTGATGTTTCGGGTTCATATAGGTCAGGTTCCCATGGTGAATATCCTAATGGCAAGGACGTGCAAGGCCCATCATAAGTCTTTGAATCTAGCAGGTGCTCAATAAATGCTGGCCAAATTTATAATAGCCTCTAGAACAATAAGGTAAGTGAAATTAATGTGATAGTCTGTCACAAAGTAGCATTCTAAGAAATAATTCAGGACATTTGGGCAAAATTAAACATACCACTCAACTTTCCAGAATATTCTTCAACCTACTAACCAATTTCCGCAGGTAATCACATCAAGTATGCATTTCTGTGTTTGGATACAGCAAGTCAGTATAAGCATGTATGTGTGCATAGACAACCAGGGCCTGACATTTGAGCGATGTTCAAACTCGGCATTGGAAATACAATGAGGGATTGAAGTTTGCTGAATTGATACGAGACTTGAAAAAAGGTGGTAATATGGGAAACGAAAATAAAAGGCAGCCAGTTGCCATCCCTTTTAGCTTTGGATCATTTATTTAACCAAAATGTTCCAGTGCCTAATGCATGGTAGACAGTTTGGGGCACAGTGAAGGACGCGACCATTGTCCTCCTTGCTTTTTTCATTTGTTAGACACCTCACTCGTCTGAGAATTTTTCAGTGTCAGAAAGGATGAGATATTTGTCAACATTTCAATGAGAAAATAGGTGAAACTCCTGCTCAGCACTATCCGCAGAATTCATATTCATTTGAGAGTTATAGAAATACATACAGGTGGCCTTTTGACTGGAACCACCATCTCCCAGTAATTAACCAAAAAGATGAACACAAAGGGAAAGGCACCCAATATATGTTCTCTAGGCCTTCTAGAAAACATGGAGTGGTTCCTTTGGCAACATGTATGCGTATCTGCAAGAAAGGTGATATTGTAGACATTAAGGGAGTGGGTACTGTTCAAAAAGGAATGCCCCACAAATGTTACCATGGCAGAACTGGAAGAGTCTACAATGTTACCCAGCATGCTGTTGGCATTGTTGTGAACAAACAAGGGCAAGATTCTTGCCAAGAGAATTAATGTGCATATTGGGTATATTAAGCATTCTAAGAGCAGAGATAGCTTCCTAAAATGTGTGAAGGAAAATGACCAGAAAAAGAAGGAAGCCAAAGAGAAAGGTACCTGGATTCAACTAAAGTGCCAGCCTGCTCCACCCAGAGAAGCACACTGTGTGAGAACCAAACCAATGGGACCTGAACTACTGGAACCTATTCCCTATGAATTCATGGCATGATGGGTGTTAAAAATAAACTAATCTGTGGTCTATAAAAAAAAATACATACAGATGTGGGCCAGACTCTGAAATATTTCTGATTGCTAGTTATTTATTTTTATTTTTAATTTTATTTATTTATTTATTTATTTATTTAATGTTCAAAGGAGAAAGGGAGAGACCAAACAGCAAAAAGCAGGTGTGGTCTAACTGGAACCAGGTGTCCACAGCACTGGAAGCACTGAAATGGCCTTTCTGCTTGCCATAGGGCCTTGGCCCTGAGCCATCCAAGTCCCTGTGTACTGTGGCAGTGGTCCACACAGACCAGAGGTTCTGCTGGCCCCAAGCTTTGACAGCAACCAGAGACCCTCCACAAGACCAAGATCTCCCACCAGGCTAAGCCAATGATACAGTTTGGTGTTAGAAATCTTTTTTTTTTTGTAGAGGTTTTTGCTATAGGGTGCATGTGCTCACCAGAAAGAGAGAGAGACAGAGAGACAGAAAGCGAGAAATCACCCCCCAGGAGGGATGGCCATGCCTCAATCCCTTCTCCTCCATTCTCCTCTTGGGATCTTGGGCACGCACGCACACGCGCCCGGCATGAATTTAAGCCACCGGGTCTGCAGCTCGAAGCACGGTCGACTACGTGGGAGTCCAGCGACATAGCCATTATGCTGACTGCTGGTCCTGGTGTTAGAAATCTTCAGGTGGCATCTTCTAACAGGGAAGACTTGAAAGGTCCCTGTTTGTTTAAATGCCCTGCCAGGACAGTTTCAGGTTAGTTTTTAAGGTCATGTTTTCATAATGTAGCAATACTAAACACCACCCTTCTATAACACCTGCATTACTGAAGGAAGAAGACTAAACCCTTTCCCAAGTCCTCATTATTCAATGAGCATGTACGTATGTGCTGTGACCAGAAGACAGATCAGAAAAGCACCGGCACTCGCTGGAAGAGAAGAGGCCTCTAGCAGGTTCTTTGCCATGAGGGTGGAGGAGGGCATCTAACATCTCTCCGTGGGGAAGGGCAGGCCAGCGGTGTAGGCAGAAGCGGGAGCTCAGAGAGACCAGGAGGACATAGTTGTGAGTCATCCATACGTTACGTCAGCTATCACTCAAGCTTTACTGAAATCCGCTGTTAATATTAGCTACCTATCAAACTGCAGAACTGGCAAAGGACACGCTGGTAGAGATGAAAACTAACATCAAAGGAAAACAAGAGCACATGTTTTAGAAAATTTCCAGATTTTGTTGACATATACACATCAGTTCCATATTCATTCATTCCCCAAGGCCCTCATGTAGCCACTGGACTAGGGTGACCACAAGTTGACATCAGCAGGTGTTCTCTGATTTCTGCTGGATTCTCTAAGATGTCTACAGAGGAAGTCCCTGACTTCCAAAGTTTTCTTCTATAAGGAATATCTTATCAATTCTTATAGAATTAAAGTAAGGAGAAATATCATATAAGTCAGTGACAGGTAGGTAAATGAAATTATGTCAGAAACAAAAAACACTGGGACCAGCAGTTGGCGTAATGGCTATGTCACTGAACTCCCATGTAGTCAGCCGTGGTTTGAGTCCCAGACCCGGTGGCTTAAACTCACGCCAGGCACATTTGTGTGCGTGCCCAAGATCCCAAGAGGAGAATGGAGGAGATGGGATTGCGGCATGGCCATCCCCCCTAGGGGCGATGATTTCTCACTTTCTGTCTCTCTGTCTCTCTCTGTCTTTCTGGAGAGTGCACATGCCCTATAGCAAAAACCTCTCCCCTCAAAAAAAAAATTACTAATAAAATGTAAATAGAATAAACAATACAAAACACCATGTCTACCTGGAATCTTTATAAATGCAATGGTCACAAAGTACACATTGCCAGAGTGCCAACAACAATCTGTCTAGAAATGATTTCAAAAGGGGAAAAGGAAATTATTTGACCAAAAGCCACTAAAACCTGCCAATGACAGAAAGCTAATACTTCCATAGACCAAGAAAAATGAACATTTACGTTTTGGTTGAAGAATTCCAAGAACCTATCAGTAGTTTGGTCTGACTAATACAGAAGCCAGTAGAGACACATCTAACGCTGAGGTTTGTCCCTGTCTCTCTCGACCCCACAATGCAAGTCAGCTCCCCGAACAGTCAGGATTTCAAGAGCACTGCAAAAGCACGTGTGCATGTGGAAAACTCGGAGTCCTTCATTATCAGGATTTTGGGGAACCATGAAGAGGGGCGCTGCTCTCCTTTCCCTGTGCCTGCCAGAACTCACACATTCTCCAAAAGATCATTCTTTTCTATGTTTCTTTATTTTTGAGAGATTTTTGCTATAGGCCATGTGTGACGACTGTCAGAGAGACTGAGAGACAGAGACAGAAAGCAAGAAATCCTCCCCGGGAGAGATGAAATCATCCCTCCAGGGAGGGTGGCCACAGCGCATTGTCTTCCAAGGTAATGAGGTGGATTTTTCACAGTGATACAGAGACAGGACCATGTGTTTCAATTCTTCTAGATGAGCCTACAGGTTCCTCCAGCTTTGCTACTCCACCTGCGGTCCACAGCCATCACCTTCAGCAACACCAGGGGCTGGTTAGGAATGCAGATTTCGGGGGACCAGCAGGTGGTGTGGTGGTTAAGACGCTGGACACTCCCACATGGCCGACCATGGTTCGAGTCCTGGACCTGGTAGCTTGCTTTCTCATTTTCCTTCTCTTTCTCTCTGTGTCTCTCTCTGGTCAAATCAAAATAAAATGAATGAACAAATAAAAATAAATAAATAATTTTTAAAAAAAAAGGATGCAGATTTCGGACCCCAGATGATTGAGCCAGCACTATGCATAGACTAAAAATGTCTTTTACTCCTGGGATTAGGTGTCTCTCCATATATGCTGAGGATCACGCAGTTACGCCAAGTTTAGGGCAATCCGAGCAGTGCCATGAAAATAGTGCATTATAACACACTGAATTTACAGAAAATCATCCACGGGTCCATATCATGACAAGCGAGTGAGCAAATAAACAGATGGGACAGGGAGTCTCCTCTTTACAACAGAAAGCCAATTTACAAATACTTAAGGAAAGAAAGAATGACTAAAGTCATAATTTCGCAACCATGTTACTAATTGATTCATGCAAGACTCTCCAGGGATCCTAAATCCATTAGATGAAAGGGAGTGGGGGAGTAGGCTATTTACATAGGGAATGCAGATTTCGGACCCCAGATGATTGAGCCAGCACTATGCATAGACTAAAAATGTCTTTTACTCCTGGGATTAGGTGTCTCTCCATATATGCTGAGGATCACGCAGTTACGCCAAGTTTAGGGCAATCCGAGCAGTGCCATGAAAATAGTGCATTATAACACACTGAATTTACAGAAAATCATCCACGGGTCCATATCATGACAAGCGAGTGAGCAAATAAACAGATGGGACAGGGAGTCTCCTCTTTACAACAGAAAGCCAATTTACAAATACTTAAGGAAAGAAAGAATGACTAAAGTCATAATTTCGCAACCATGTTACTAATTGATTCATGCAAGACTCTCCAGGGATCCTAAATCCATTAGATGAAAGGGAGTGGGGGAGTAGGCTATTTACATAGTTTCAGAGTTTCTCTTTATAGAGATACTGTAACTAACATGTATGAATCACAAAGTGGGGGGAGGTACATTCACAGTGCGAAAGCTTTTGGACACTTCCTAAATCAAGCGATCCACTGTAATGGCACGGGTAACAGGACAATCTAGCACCACGTACCTGCTCAAGTGCCTGTGCTTCCGAGGATACCCCACCATGTAGGCAATATTTCTGCCGGAAATCTCTAGCCTGACTCAAGTCATGAGGAAACAAAAAACAAGCCCACACTGGGTCCAGCAGTTAGCGTAATGGCTATGTCGCTGGACTCCCATATAGTTGACCGCGGTTTGAGTCCTGGAACTGGTGGCTTAAACTTACACGGGGCGCATGTGCGTGCGTGCATGCCCAAGATCCCAAGAGGAGAATGGAGGAGAAGGGATTGAGGCGTGGCCATTCCCCCTGGGGGTGATTTCTCGCTTTCTGTCTCTATGTCTCTCTCTGTCTGTCTGGCGAGCACACGTGCCCTATAGCAAAAACCTCTCAAAAAAAAAAAAAAGATAAGCCCACACTGATGGCAATTTTATAAAACAAATAGCCTGCATTAAAAAAGACAAAAAAAAAAAAAAAACCAATGTCATGAAAGACAAAGAAAAACTGAGCAAGATGAAAGAAACTTTGTAACTAAATGCGGCATGTGACCCTGGATGGTTTCCTGGGTTGGGAGTTCTCAGAAGTTGCTGCTCTGCATAAGGACTTCATCCAGATAGGTCTGCATGTCGGACCACACTAGCAACATTACTTTCCCTCCATGTGGTCACTGTATCTCCTTCTTCTTAGGTGATACAAACTGAAGTATTTAGAGTTAAAGGGGCATATCTGCAACTTATTTCTGAATGGCTCAGTGAAGACTGTAATAATATGCATATACAAAGAGATAAAGCGAACTGTGGCAAAATGTGGCAAAATGTTACTGAGTGCAAGACATATGGATGGTCACTGAAAACTGGCAACTCTTCTGTAGCTTTTGAATTTGTCAAAACAAAAAGCTGGAAGTAGAAAAAAGGAAAGATCAAAAAACAATGCAAGGATAATGGCCCCTTTCCTAGTAGAATACTGTCACCAACTGCCCCCCTTCCCCCAACATCGTGTGGACTTGAAATTGAACACAAGTAAATGACGGGCTTAAAACAGAACTCCCTTTAACAGGTCACCACCTGGGGTTAAGGTGCTGAATCCCACATGGCCAAGTCTGCGGTTCGAGTCCTGGACTAAATCCTAATCCGGTGGTTTGAGTAATATGCCGGGCACATGTGTGCAGATGCCCAGAATCCAGAGGAGAGAATGGAGGAGAAGGGAACACAGCATGGCCCAACCCCGTGGGGTGGGGGGAGGGTGTGAACTCTCACTTTCCTTCTCTGTCCAGTGAGCTCAGAAGTCCTATGGCAAAAAGAAAAAAAATTTTTAGGAAAAGGCACTCTGTAGGCTAAAAGCCCCTTCTTTGCAAATGCACCTTGGCATTTTCATATGGAATATTTTCATATTCCATTCTTAGCCATGGAATAGGGCAGTGAACCAGGTGAAGTCCCACCTCTCAGGGAGCTTACATTCTAGGAGGAGGAAACAGACAACAAACAAGTCAGGCCAGATATTAACAAGTGCATTGAGGGACCAGCAGATGGTGTAATGGCTATGTCACTGGACTCCCATGTAGTCGACCACAGTTTGAGTCCCTGACCTGGTGGCTTAAACTCATGCCAGGCGCGTGTGCGTATGTGCCCAAGATCCCGAGAGGAAAATGGAGGAGAAGGGATTGTGGCGTGGCCATCCCCCTGGGGTGATTTCTTGCTTTCTGTCTCTCTGTCTCTGTCTTTTTGGAGAGTACACACGCCCTATAGCAAAACAAATAAAGCAACAACAAAACGACAACAAAAAATGACACCCCCCCCCCAAAAAAAAGGGGGCTTTGAAAGGAAATAAAGATGGGAGGGACTTTGGGGCAGCACTATTTAGAACAGGGAGGCCAGAGGACTCTAGTCAGGTGGCATCTGGCAAAGACCTGAGTGGGATGAGGGACTGACCGGGGCAGGTAACTGGCGGAAGAACCAGGCAGGCAGGGGCCATGGAGTGAGGGCTGTACTCAGGCTAGGGTGGAGAGAGAAGGGGGACAGAGCAGGGCATGAGGTCAGAGGTCATGTGGTCCCTCCTGCCACCATCGAGGCACTGAGTGAGAAATTGATTGCTGCTGCCCACCTTTTCCATCAACCAAACGTGCAGCTTGTTCTCGACAGCCAAATTCACAGCGCCATAGGAAGACGGTGCTGCATGTCCACTGGGAGACGCAGCCAAGTCTGCGCCCCTCGGTGTGCGAGGCTCCACGCGGCTTCCCCTTCTGCCACCCTCCTTAGACGTGGACACACTGTCTGCCCAACTCCTTTCTCCCTTCCGTTCCCATCCTAAGGGCTCAAGAAATTTTCTCTCTGGTTCAGGAGCTTTAACGAAAGGAGCCACGCTGTGGCGGTGCGGGTAGTGGGCCCTCTTGTGCAATGCTGAGCCAGCTGGGAAGGCCGGGGCTGGATCCAGGGGTTCTCTGCATGGGAATGCTGGTCTCTCTCATGGAAGAGATGAAAGTGCCTTATCATGGTGGTTAAGCTTAGTCATACTTACAACAGGGGTGCTTATTCCCACAGATGTCACCGTTCTTCACAGATGTCACACCTGTGCCTTCTTCTCCCTCCTCCTTTGGTCAAACCCACTATTCTTTGAGTTCTGTCACTCAGCTCCTTGCAGGCAGAGGCTGTCCTGCTCACTCTGGTTCCTGGTGACAAGCACAGAGCCTGGCATTATTGTACTTCTATAGTAACTATTTAGGGACTATTTCATAGATAGAAGAGGTTGTGACGGGCTAGGAATGCCATGACTGGGGCCCGCAGGTGGCATGATGGTTATGGAGCTTGATTCCCACATCGCCAACTGTGGTTCACGTCCTGGATCTGATGGCTTGAAAATCATGCTGGGAGCATGTGCATGAGTGCCCGAAATTCCAGGAGGAGAATGGAGGAGGAGGGATTGCAGCATGGTCATCCCTCTGGAAATGATTTCTCACTTTGCCTCACTCGATCTCCTCTCTCTCATTCTTTCTCTCTCTAGCTGTCCTACCCCCCTTCTGGTGAGTGCATGTGCCCTATAAAAAAACCTAAAAAAAAAGAAAAAAGAAAAGGATATCATGACTGCCTTGGGGAAGTACAGCAGCAATTTGCTGTGTTAGCTGAGCTGAATGGATACACTGGGTCATCAGAAAAGTCATGACACATTTTTTTTTTTATTATTTATTATTTATTTTTTGAGAGGTTTTCGCTATAGGGCGTGTGCGCTCGCCAGACAGACAGACAGAGACAGAGAGACAGAAAACGAGAAATCACCCCCCAGGGGGGATGGTCACGCCGCAATCCCTTCTCCTCCATTCTCCTCTCAGGATCTTGAGCACACACGCACAAGCGCCCAGTGTAAGTTTTAAGTCACTGGGTCCGGGACGCGAACCGCGGTCGACTACATGGGAGTCCAGCGACATAGCCATTATGCTAACTGCTGGTTCCCATGACATATGTTTTATTTTTGAGAGTTTTTTTCTATAGGGTGAGTGTGCTTGCCAGAAAGACAGAGAGAGACAGAGAGACAGAAAGCGAGAAATCACCCCCCAGGGGAGATGGCCACGCCGCGATCCCTTTTCCTCCATTCTCCTCTCAGGATCTTGGGCATGCACTCACACACACCCAGTGTGAGTTTAAGCCACCAGGTCCGGGACTCGAACTGTGGTTGACTACATGGGAGTCCAGCGACACAGCCATTACACCAACTGCTGGTCCCGTCATGACACATTTTTGCCTAGGAAAAATACATCATGACTTTCATGACAATCCAATAGATTAGAAAGGTCTCACAAGTTGGAAACACAGAAAGAAGGAAAATCACTCAACAACAGCCTTTCAAAATATTCGGGAGCGACTGTGCTCGGGGCTGGATGACGGGGAGAATCAAACGCATGATGATTTCCCCCCGCTTAGTGACTCTAGTAAGAAAGAGAAATATGTCTGGTGCTTTTAAAATAACTTTAGATATTGAATCTCAGCAGATTGTAAGAATTAGAATCCTGAATCTGTGTTACATATAATTTTGTTGACCCATAAAAAATTTTAAAAGTTGTTAATGTAGATGAAAATCGCAAATTTGCTAGACAGTTTATATGGTGTTTTTCAGTTTAAATACAGCTTTCACGTTCTGAATTTTAAGAAAATCTTCATTTGGGGAATTTTATGAGAAAGAAACTAAAACTGAACACCAAGCAAACCTTTCAACATTGTGCCCAATAAAGGCACTTACTGCCTTTTTTGAACTTTGTGACCTACACAGTATCAAATCAACCAAAAATACTTATTTTTCAGAAAAGAAACTGAGACAGTGAAAGGGGGAGGAGTTTGACGAAGGGAGAGGAGGACATGGCAGCAGCTAACTGACAGCAGGAGGACTTCTGCTTTGTCCAGATAACGGCACTGGCTTTCTGGATTCTCAGGGGTCATCCCCTTCCCAGGCTATTGAGAACCAGACTGGATTGAATGGGTTCTACCATTTTATATCCATTTATTCCCTGTTTCGGTCATTTCCAAACAGGCTGATGTTTTTAAAAATGCTATGAAGAATGGGAGAGTTTCATGCAGATGATCAGTAAGAGAACTTAAAAGATATGTGATGTCTCTACTTTGAAGCTTGGAGAAGCTCTGGGTTACCGTCCAACCCTGTTCAGTAAGTGCAGTGTTTGTAATGATCTACGTTCAATTGTTGAATGTGTTCTTGGTTTGCAATTGGGTGAAAATGAGCTTGCAGTCAGTCATTCAACCATCCCACAGTAATATCTTCCTGAGGGCTGACTGTCCCCCAGATCTGTGCTGGTTACCTGGAACACAGCAATGAAAAAGACATGGGCCCTGCTGTCATGAAGCTTACGTTCTAGAACGATGAAGCATTAATTAAATTAACATCTATTTAGTAAGTATTAGTTCAGAGTATCTAAGTTACTTGAGCACAAACAAAAGAGGAAGAGACTATCAAACCTTGAACTTGAACATTCTAAACTAGCTTAAAAGGTCATAAATTCAATTTATTCTTCAATGCTAAACTTCTAAGATGTCCTTAGCAGAAATCCCTTTTCCCTATTTCAGCCCTTGTGCAAATATTTTATAAGGAGTTAAAAAAATGAACAGAAATGTGTGCAAATTAACATTATTTTCATAATTTAAAAAAATGTCATCTCGGGCCAGCCCAGTTGCCTAGTGATCAGGGGAACTGGATTCCACATGGCCGACTACTCAGTTCAAGTCACAGATTGGCGGCTCAAAAAACACACAAGGCACCCCGTGTGCATACATGCCCCCCATCCCAGCAGGATGGAGAAATGGAGGGCAGCAGTGTGAGCACACCCCATTAGGAGGGTGCTTTCCTTGGCCCCCACTCTGGAGAATGCACACGTGCTCTAGCAAGATAAAACACAAATAAATTCGCCTTTATGAAAGCAAAGTAACTACTCAAAAACGAGTTCTCTTGATTTGATCACTAGCTTATTTGTGGCTCTGGTTTGGTGGGTTGGAAAAGCTCTGCAAAGCTGTGGTGTCATGCCCCTCCATCTCCACCAATGACACATGGGAACTGTGTACACTGTGAATACTGCGAAAAAGCATTACTCCAGCTTACACAGACGTCAGACTTGCTTCCAAGGGGGGGGGTCTTACTGAAGTCATGCGTGTCACAAAAATTTAACAGCCTAGAATATTCAGGTGTAAAACATTTGTCTACCTATACTTGCTCCTGTTGTTCAGAGGTTGCTTGCATTAAAAAAAAAAAAGACCTATAAGATTTTTCCAAATGCAAAATTAAAATAGAAAGCAAAGTAGGAAACAGGAAAAAAGGATATTCCCATTAGTAGGCAGTTGGTTTGCCAAGATGTAGTTTCCAAGGAAGTGAAAACATGACCCATACAAATATATATCGAAAATATGTCCGAATTTTACTTAACTTACTAGTACAGGAAAGCTGTAGGGAGGATACATGTGATCCAGTGGGGTGCGGGAAAGCCTGAGAATCAGTGAAAATCAGAGCACTGAAATAAGACCGCCGGCTTAGACATAAAACTGTTTAATGTGCCACTAGATGGTGAAAGCGTAACGTTTGGGGGTTACGTTCTCCCTCAGACAAAAATCATCGGTAAATTGGTGATCAACAAATTAACATTTAACTTCACGGAATCTGGGTCCTAATGAATAGTAATTATTAAGTTAAACAAAAGGACGTTTTCCTAAAAATGATGTGACCCTTGACGGGCATGTCTGACAATGCTCCCGTGTAATACTGAAAAGACGTGCAATTACCCTTTGCCTTATTCTCAAGTGTTGGGTATTTGTCTAAACACATTTTGTTGCTGTTTATACCAGGTCTCGCCGTGTCATCCTTCTTCCGCTTCAGTCTCCCAGCTAAAAGTACAGGCGTGCACCCCGTGCCTGGCGGTTCCACAGTCTCGCTGCATGGACCAGAAACTCTCCCACCTCACCTCCTAGTCTTTATGATTACAGGCACCTGCCACTGTGCCTGGTCTTTAGGTTAGACCGAGAATTGAACCTTGGCCTCCCACGTGGTCCCAGCCTGCCGAGCGCAGCATCTCGGGCATGCACACCACCCAGCTGGGCTAACCATTTTAAGACCATGGCTGGATTAACCCTCCGGAACGAGTTACTCCATAGCGGCATGCCCTAGAGACCTACATTAGTCCTTGCGATGCTTAAGACCCAGAGGCAGGCTGGAAAAATGTGTCTGAACATTCCCCGCATCCCCCATCCCACCGAGGCTGCATAATCGCTATTCTTTGTTTGCTTTCTTGCTTTTTATCATGTTTGGCCTCTGTGGCCTACCTGTTTCTTCTAGTCATTTCGGCCAATACGTTTCTTCACTGTTTTCCTTTCTTTGAAAGTATTTCCTGGCACGGATACTAATCATGTCGACCTTTGACGCCAAGGTAGAATGATCTACCTCCTTCAACGTCAGTGTGTGTACAAGTTCTGAGTCATGGTTGGAGCATTAGCGTTGTATTACACAGCACACGTGCTTAGTCCCTCTGCCCACCCACCCCTGTCCTCACATTAAGAAGCACTTCAGAAACACCTATTGTGTAAGATCAGTAAGTTTAACCTTTACTAACTCAAACAGTTAAGGAACAAATAAACAAACTTTTCGAAGGCTCCTAAGGACTCAAATACGTCTCCATATCACATCACAGTCACCGTCACTCAAGCTCTTAATAATTAACCATCCTATCAGTGACTGCGTATGCTGACCACTCTCCACGTGCCAGACACTGGGCCGAGGGCTTCACGCGGTTTATCCTAGCGACTCCTCGCAACAACCCCGTGACCTAGCTGGTACTAGTGCCCCTTTTCAGATGAATAGACTGAGATTAAATGAACTTTTCCACCATCACAGTTCAAATCCAGGTTGTTTCACAGACTTACCTCCATGCTATAACCGCCAGAGAACTATTAAAACCTACAGTCACCATCGTCGTCACCCTAAGAGCAGCGCATATACATCGCTGTCGATAGGCAAGGCATTATTCTCAGTGAGGAACACCCAAAAACGTATTCACCGTTTACTGTAACCCGATGGCGTAAGTATGATTCTTACTGCCAATCTGCAGAAGAAGAAACTGAGGCAAAGCGGGGTCAAGTCCTCGGTCCAGGTCACAGGGCTAGTCCGATGCAAGGTTGGGATACTGTGGACAGCCTGGCTCTCGGGTCCAGGACTCGCCCCTGCAACAATTTCAACAGCACAGAACAAGTAAACAGTCCGGGCCCTTCAGAACCTCTGAGCCTGGGAACACCACATTTAAGCACAGAACCGTAACTAAATGTTCATTCCTATCATCAAAAATCATCAAGAACATATTAAAAAGGTTTCATTCAGCCTTGTTAAGAAGGAAAAAAGGTAATACACGTAAGCCAAATTTCATCCAGGATAAGTTTCTTTAAAAAAAATCAACAACGTTTTTCTGGAAAATGAACTCACTATAGAACAAATGAGGTGTTACAGTATTAAAAAATCCTTTTAAAGAAATTGTTTGTGTTCTTGTAGCCTTGAGGTTTCTCAGAATTCCTTTGGGGGCTGTGGGTGGTTGCGGGGAGGCAGGGTGAAGATAGGACTCTGGTCCCCACTCCACCTTCACACAACTAGTTCTGCTTGTATTTTTTACATAATGGGTTTCCCCATAAGGTTTCGCTTTGATGGGACTTAGGCTCCCATGAGAACTGGGTCTAAGTGGGCAGCTCTTTCTCATCTTTACATAATAAAACCTCCCATCACTTCCCCAGCACTCAGTTGTACTTCACAGCATTTCTCCTTTTGTTTCTCAAATCTTGTGTTTACCAAAGCGTTGACCATTCTCCTACCAGACCCTCCCTTTCCACTCCCCTCTGCCAACAATAATCACAACCACAGCTGATGCTTACTAGACTCCTATATGGGAAGCTCTAGGTTAAAAGTTTCCAACTGGGCCAGCTGGTGGCATGGTGGTTAAGACAGCTGGACCCCACATGGCCAACTGCATGGTTCAAGTCCCAGACCCAGCAGCTTACAAAATATTCAGGGTACATGTACATGCATGCCTGAAGTTCCAAAAGGAGAAACGGAGGAGAGAGGATTGCAGCGTGACCATCTCCCAGGGGGCATGCTTTCTTGCTCTCCATCTCTGTCTCTCTTCCAATAAGTTCATGTGCTCTCTAGCAAATAAAGTTTTTTTTTTTCTTTTTTGGAGAGGTTTTTGCTATAGAACGCATGCGCTGGCCTGAAAGACAGAGAGAGACAGAGAGATAGAAAGCGAGAAATCACCCCCCAGGGCAGATAGCCACGTGGCTATCCCTTCTCTTCCATTCTCCTCTTAGGATCTTGAGCATGCACACACATGTGCCCAGAGCGAGTTTAAGCCACCAGGTCTGGGACTTGAACTGTGGTTGACTACATGGGAGTCCAGAGACATAGCTATTATGCCAATTGCTGGTCCCACAAATAAAAAGTTTTTTTTTTTTAATATCAATGCTTTATTAAATGTTCTCAACACCCCTATAAATTAGCTTCTCTTACTGACCCCATTTTATAGGGGAAGAAACGAAGGCCCACCATCCAATAATCACTAAATGATGGAGAGAGAACGAAAAACTAGACAGCCCCACTAAAGGCCTCTGGCTGAGCTGTGCCTTTAGTACACGTCAACAATGTTCAAAATTTCCACCAAGATTCTGTTCTTAAAAACAGACATGAAGCACTTTCCTTCAGGAGCAATCTTTCTCGCAGCACCTCAATGTGGCAAAATGCAACACACAGCTTTCAGTACAATGTCCCTGCTATGGTTTGAATGTGTCCCCCAAAATGTATGTGCTGAAAATTGCTTGTGACAGTATTCAGAGGGTGAAAACTTCATTTGGCTATGGGATTAAGAAGTAAAGCCTTTGGGAGGTGATTAGGATTAGACAAAGCCATCAGGGTGGGCCCCCAAGACTGAATCCTGGTGGCTTCATGAGAAGGATCAAGACCAGAGCTGACCTGACAGACACACAGACACACAGACATGAGCTGTCACTCTGTCATCACTCATCACCTTGCAGAGAGTCTACACCAAGAAGACCCTCACCAGATGGAGCTACCTGACCTCACATCTCCAAAATCATAAGCTGAATAAACCTTTACTCATTACATTACCAAGGTTTGGGGCACTTGATAATGAACCCACAGAGAACAGACTAAAGCGATCCCCCACAAATGTTGACATGAATTCTTCTCCAGCTCTTGCAGACATCTATGCATGCTTGGCTGTCCAATGAGATCATTTCTCAAAAACGGACTACACCCGCTGCTCCCTTCTGTACTCTCACTCTCTCCTGTCTAGATTACTCAGAACAGTGTAGGGCACAGAGGAGGAGGAAGGCCAATAATGTTTGGGAGAAGCCTTGGCCAGCAGTCAGGACAGCTGGTCCTACTTCCGTCTGGGGCAATCCCCAGTAGCAGAGGCTGTCAGTCTCTGCCCTTCCCTTCTGTTCCCTCGGAGCTCACCTCTGCGTGTTGAAGGCAGCTATCTTAAACACACCTGGCCTTTATTCTGGCTCTGGGAGTAGGCTGGGCTCGCTCTTACAGTGAGGTCAAAATGCAGGGAAGTTGATGCCTTCAGGAAAGAGACCTCCATCAGGGATGAGGGGTAGCTACTGAGCAATAATCCCTGTTTCCTTGCCCCTTGGTTAGGATAACTCAGAAGTGTGCAGACCCGTCTTTGAAGGGACTGAACTCCAGTTGTCCATGGACATACTTTTCTTGAAAATGCATGCCTTGGGGCCTCTTTGTCTTCTTTGTCCCACTTTCCTG